CCCCAAAACCCCAAAACCCCGAGATCTATTGTATTTTAACTAATTTGGAAATATAAAGTATGTATTAATTATTTATCAGAAAAGTATATAAGATATGGAATCAGAAAGTAAGTGTGAATAATGTAACGAATTATTTAATTCCATCGATAAACAGTAAATTATCCTTCCATGCGGTGATTCGATTTGCCTCTCATGCTTTGGGAAAGCTTTAGAGCCTGAGGAGAGCAAACTTATTTGCCCTATTGACAAAGAAGCATTGATTATCACCAAAAAGTTTAGAGAAAAGATTCAAAAGATGACTTAACAGAAAAATAAATTGCTTTGGATTTTATGCCAGAATCATTTAGATTTGATTGCTGAATACTATTGTAATACTCATAGAGAAATGGTATGTCATTTGTGTGCTCATAAAGGTCATGCAAATCATGCAAAAAAGCTTGATCTCATTGTTGATAAGGATATTCAGGGATTCTGTGAGAGAGCATTGGAAAGGCTGAATGAAAGGAGGAGCAAGATTAATGATTTAATTGATGAAATTGAAATTTTCAAGCAGAAAGAGAGAAGCTACCCTTCTGAAGTATTTATTAAGATTCTAAGAGAGGTTCAAGATTCTTTAATACCTCATTTGGATAAGAAAGGAGGAAAAGAACTGGAGTTGAAGAACAATGGAAAAAGATGTTCAGCAGATGATTTCAGCGAAGAAACGTTATCCGTATTTAATATAACTGATGACCATGAAGAACTCTTAAAAGTATGGATTCATGGGGAGGATGAAATGGGAAGTTCAAAATTTGAACTATTATATAAAGCAACTAGAGATACATTTAGCAGTGCCAAGATGCATGAAATGATTAATAACAAAGGACCTATTGTAGGCATAATAAAATCTCAACATGACTAGGTGTTTGGAGGATACTCCTCAGTAGGATGGAAAGCAGATGGTGCCTGGACTTTAGATGGTAAAGCCTTTATTTTCAGCCTTACTAAAAAGACTAAACATGAGCAATATCAAAATAAGGACTAGGCTCTGTATTATGCGAATTCGTTTATGCTATGGTTCGGCTATGACATACTCTTATACACTGATTGTAATAACAATGCCAGCAGCTATTCTAACTTTGGAACTACATACAAGCCACCTGATGGAATAGTACAAGGATAAGATTCTGCTAATACTTATCTTGCAGGCTCACATTATTTCAGTGTAAAAGAGATTGAAGTATACAAAGTTTCTAAAGAGGAGTGATTCGTAAAATTTCCAAACCTAAACTAGTTATTAGTGCCAGTGAATGAATGAATTACATTGATCTCTTAAGGATATTTTATTTCAAGATTAAACATTGATTTCTTAATTTCTTCAATATTTAATTTGATGGGGTTTTGGGGTTTTGGGG